ATCTGTTTTGGGGATGAGGATGATGGAGGCTTCATAAAATGAATTTGGAAGGTTTCCTTCCTTTTGAATCTTTAGAAATAATTTTAGTAAGATAGGGGTTAATTCTTCCTTGAAAGTTTTGTAGAATTCACAAGTGAAGCCATCTGGGCCTGGGCTTTTCTTTGTTGGGAGATTATTAATTACTGATTCAATCTCCTGGCTTGTTATAGGTCTATTCAGATTCTCTATGTCTTCCTGATCCAATCTTGGTAGTTTATATGCATCCAGGAATTTGTCCATCTCCTCCAGGTTATCTTGTTTGTTGGCGTAAAGTCGCTCATAGTATCCTCTAATGATATTATGTATTTCTGCTATGTCCGTGGTAATATTGCCTGTTTCATCACATATTTGATTAATCTGGTTTCTTTCTTTCTTCTTCTTGATCAGTCTAGCCAATGGAGTATCGATCTTGTTGATCTTTTCAAAGAACCAGCTTTTGCTTTCATTTATTTTCTGTATGGTTCGTTTATTTTCTATTTCATTTATTTCTGCTCGAACCTTTATTATTTCTTTTCGCCTGGCATTTTGGGGGTTCGTTTGTTGTTGTTTTTCCAGTTCTCTGAGGCATGATGATAAGTTATCTACTTGCCATCTTTCCATCCTTTTCTTATGTGCACTAATTGCTATGAATTTCCCTCTTATGACTGCTTTTGCTGTGTCCCATAGGTTCTGGACACTTGTGTCCTCATTATCATTTGTTTCCATAAATTTGTTTATTTCAGCCTTAATTTCTTCAGTAGTGAAGAAGTCATTCAGAAGTAGGTTGTTCAGTTTCCATGTGTTCGTGTGTTTTCGGGGTTGTTTCTTGAAATTAATCTTGAGTTTAATTCCATCATGGTCAGAGAAGATGCTGGGTACAGTTTCTATGCCTTTGAATCTGTAAAGGCTTGATTTGTGTCCTAATATATGATCTATCTTTGAAAAGGTTCCATGTCGGGGTGAGAAAAATGTATATGTTGTGGATGTAGGGTGGAAAGTTCTATAGATATCTGTCAAGCCCATTCCATTTATAGTATCATTTAAGTCCTGTATCTCTCTATTTATTTTCTGTCTAGAAGATCTGTCTATAGGAGATAACGGGGTGTTGAGATCTCCAACAATTATAGTATTTTTCCCTATGTCTCCTTTTAGCTCCAGCAGTCTTTCCTTCACATATTTAGGCGCACCTGAGTTGGGTGCGTAGATATTTATAAGGGTTATATCTTCTTGCTGGATTACCCCATCTACTATTATATAATGCCCTTCTTTGTCTCTTCTTACAGTCTTTGTTTTAAAATCTATTTTGTCTGAGATCAATATCGCTACTCCAGCCTTTTTTTGATTTCCATTTGCATGGAATATCTTTTTCCAGCCCTTGACTTTTAGTCTATGTATATCTTTATCCATAAGGTGAGTTTCTTGTAGGCAACAGATAGAGGGTTTCTGTTTTCTTATCCATTCAGCTAGTCTATGTCTCTTAACTGGGGAATTTAATCCATTGACATTCAATGTAATTATCGATATTTCCATACCTGATCCTATCATTAAGTGAGCCATTTTCTTAGTTGTTTTTTGTTCTCGTATAACTGTCTCTGATTTTTTAGTTTTCCTGGTATAGTACTCCCTTCAAAACCTCTTGAAGAGCTGGTCTGGTGTTGGTAAATTCCTTCAAATTTTGTTTATTTGAGAATGTTTTTATCTTTTTTTCCCATATAAAAGATAATTTTGCCGGGTATAGTATTCTTGGTTGAAATTGTTTTTCACTCAACACTTTGACTATGCTTCCCCATTCTTTCCTTTCCTGCATTGTTTCTGCTGAGAGATCCGATGTTAGCCTGATGGGGTGACCTTTGTAAGTAACCTGGCGTTTCCCTCTTGCCAACTTTAGTATCTTGTCTTTGTCTGTTGTTTTTGCCAGTCTGGCTATGATGTGCCTTGGAGATGATCTTCTTGGGTTGATTCTACTTGGGGTCCTCTGTATTTCTTGGGTCTGGATATTTGAATGCCTTTCTAGATTTGGAAAGTTTTCTTCCAGGATCTCATGGAATAAATTTTCCAGGCCCTTATTATTTTCTTCCTCCTCCGGAATACCAATTATCCGAATGTTGGGGCGCTTGATGGTGTCCAGTATTCCTCGTATATTATCCTCATTTTTCATGGTTGTTTTCTCAATCTTCTTGATACTTTTTTCTAGGTCAGATGTTTTGTCTTCTACATTAGAGTTTCGGTCTTCTGCCTGGTCTAACCTACTTTTAATGCTTTCAAGGGAGGTTTTGATTTCCTCTATCACATTCTTCAAACCTAGAAGTTCCATCTGGTTCTTGTTTAGGGTATCCATTTCTTCTTTCAAGTCATTAAAGGACTTCCTCATCTCCTGGAGCTCCTTGTCTCTTTTCTCTTCCATCTCAGTTAGTTTGGTCACTACAAATATTCTGAATTCCTTATCAGACATGTCCACGACGTCCATTGTATTGACTGTGGGTGATGTAGGCTTGATGATTTCCCTTGACGGAGAGGCCTTTTGTTGGTTGCTCATATTTCTTGAGCCTTTGTGATTGTTCTTAGTCATCAGGTAATCTATATGTTTCTTGCTAACTTATTTAAGGTATCTCTGATTCTAAAAAGTTGTACAGGCTTAGAAGATTGATGATTTATCTTATGGTTGGCCTACCTGTTACTCACAATTACCATTAACTGTTGCCACTAGCCCTGGAAGGCCCAAAGTCCTCGCTGTATCTAAGGAGTGGTGAGCCTTTAACTGACCAAATAAGCAACACCCCAAGAGCAAAGAAAAACAAAATGGAAAAGCGCCGCACGCTATCAAATCACCAAAATTCAAAGAGTCCAAAGGCTAGTGGAAAGGGATCAGACAATGAATGACAGTACCAGGTTGGTCGGGCCTGCAGCCTCAGTCCGCCTGGTGTTCGGAACTGCTGGCCGGCTCGATCCGGGTTTCGGGTGGGGAGGGGTGTGGGTTCGCCTTAAAGTCCCAGGCAACCAACCTGGGGTCCAAGGAGGAAGGACGGTGGGGATGCGTAGAGTTTCGGTAGGGTCCTTGGCAGGTTCTTTTTGTTAGTATTTTAAAAATACATCACTTCCTTATGGCCTCTATGGTTTCTGATGAAAAATTGGTGTCATTTGAATTGCAATTCTCCTCATAAATAATGTGTTGGTTTTCTTTGGCTGCACTCAGAGTTTTTTTCTTTCATAATTTTTTTTAAAGCAATTTAATTACGATAGGTCTTGGAGTAAATTTCTTTGGGTTTATTTTATTTAAGATATGCCAAGCTTTTTGAATCTATAGATTTATGTCTTTTGACAAGTTAAGGAAGCTTTTATCTATTATTTCTTCAAATGTATTTTCAAATATTTCTTCAGATTTTCTTTTTTTTCTTTTTTTTTTTTTTTTGAGAGGTTTTTTTTCACTATAGGGCATGTGTGCTCACCAGACAGAGAGAGACAGAGAGACAGAAAGCGAGAAGATGGAGGATGGCCACGCCGCAATCCCTTCTCCTCCATTCTCCTCTCAGGATCTTGGGCACGCATGCACACGTGCCCGGCGTGAGTTTTAAGCCACCGGGTCCGGGACACAAACCGCGGTTGATTACGTGGGAGTCCAGCGACATAGCCATTACGCTAACTGCTGGTCCTGTAATGGATTTTTTTAAAGAATTATTTTATTTAACTTTCTTTTAATTTGGCCAGAGAGGGACGAAGGAAGAGAGAGAAAGTGAGAAAGCAAGTGGCCAGGTCTGGGACTCAAACCATGGTCAGCCATGTGGGAGTCCAGCGCCCTTAACCACTACGCCACCTGCCGGTCCCTCAATTATTTTTTCTGTACCACCATTTCCGGGGAAATTCTAATGATGTAATATTAAATCTTTTGGTGTTGTCCATAGGTCCCTGAGCTCTATTTATTTTTATTTATTTATTTTTGGTAAAAGGTTTAAGCACAGATTATTTCAACTGATTGACCTTTGAGCTTTTGGTTTCTCCTTTCTCCTCTATTCTGCTATGTAGCCCATCTGTTTCATTTTTATTTTGGATTTTTTTTTTCTTTTTTAGTGGAACCGAATTTCCACTCTGTTCTTCTGTACATCTTTCCTCTGCTAAGACTTTCTTTGTATTTGTCACAAGGGTACCCATGTATACGTTAGTTTCTCACGAGGATATTGCTCCCTCTGAAAACAGTGCCTGATAGTTGGCCCATTCATTTGCCCTTTGATGCTTCCTCGTGGAGACAGGTCAGAATGCACAAAATAAAAATATGGTTACTTGGCGACAGTGAATGCCGTGAGGATGCCAATGAATGGCAAAGCCCTGTACTTACACTAGAATAGCTGCTTTCACTGTTTTTTCCCATTTTGTGATTGGAATGAGGACTGAGCCAAGGGTTCAGAGCCCTGGGTGTGAGTCGTGACCGCCAAGCATGAGCAGTGTGGTTCAGGCACGTCTCCTACCCTCTGGCCCAGTTCCCAGGAGGGTTGAATCGGTCTCTGAGGGCTCCCTGCTCCAGCACTCCAGGGTTCTCTGGCCTGTGGGCATGAAAAGCAGCAGCTGCCTCTGTCCATGCATGTTTTGTCTTTGCCCTTGTTGGTTTTAGGACAATGATGGAGGGTGAGCTTAGAACCTTAGGACACCTAAGAGAGCAGGAACACTGTCGACACGCCCACTGGAAGCAAAGCCTTATGAGGGAAAACAGGAAGTGTTTAGTCTTAACAAGAAATCACGTTTTTCAGACCGTGGACATGTGGATGTTAACATCTCTTATCACATGAGCGGTGATGCCGCCACCTCTTTCCTGTCAAGCAGACCAGCCAACTTCACAGTTAAAGATGTCTTCCCCATGTCTGATTTGAGTCCTTTCTGCAGCATCTCCCAAAGGTCACCTGGCCTCCCTGCTCTCTCCTGGCCAGGCGCTTTCTGGCCCGTTGGGTGCTCTGCTCTTCACCCCGAACCACTGTCTTCTTTCCTCTCCACAGCTGCTCCAGCTGTCGGCTGCCGCTGTGGAGAAGGGCCGCAGTGTGGGCGAGGTCCTGCAGTCAGTACTGCGCTACGAGAAGGAGCGCCAGCTGGACGAGGCGGTGGGGAACGTCACACGGCTGCAGCTGCTGGACTGGCTGATGGCGAACCTGTGATCGGCGCCCACCCACCGCGGTCCCCTCCAGCGGCGGCCCAGCCCTCCTTCCTCCTCACCCCCCAGCTCCCTCTCCAGATCCTCACAGAGCCCTAACATTATCCTCACACCACTCACACCAAAGACACGTCATCTTAATGCTGGTCACTGGATTTTGCAGATTTTCCTGTCTATGCGAGCAAGGACATAAGATTAAAAACAATTACAGTACAAGGGCTCCAGGCGCTTGGTTTCTCTGGGGTCTGATGGGGCAATAAGGTAAAGAGATCTCAGGCGTGGACAACCATCAGATGGGGAGCAGAGGTAAAACGGTGTTGGGTGGAGAGGCTGCCTCAGGGCCCCTGTCTCTGTGCCACCGTTTGCGGCTCTCCTCAGATTCCTTTGAAGCCACAATTTTTCGAGAATTACCTCAGTCTATCATAGCCATGAACATCAGAAAATAGTTTCTACCATCCTATCAAATTCATTCAAATTATGTTGAGGACTGGGCTTCATGTCCTGTCTCAGAGCTGCAGAAGCACTGTCCAACTCCAGATGTATCCCTAGTTAAAGATACCACCCAAAATGATTCCTATGACCTAAATTTGATTGCCAGTTTAGTGACCTTCTGGCCACAGAACGTGGGACAAGTCACCAGCTATGTTATAGCACTGGTCTGACTGAAATGTCTATCGTCTCACTCAAGGAACACTTCCTGCTCTCATCCTGCCCTTTCTGTTGAATTTGATATTCTGGACCCATTTTTCCTTCTAGAAACTTACTTTTCCATTGACTTCTGGCTTTTCTGTTTCTCTAAGTCTCTTGGGGGCTCTACTCAACTTTATCAACTTCTCATTACTTGTGTGCCCTGGGACTTTCTCTCAACCCTCTCTTATTTCCACTGTTATTGTTCCTGGGTTGTCTGTCCTATGATTATAACCATGTAGAAATGATACATTTATCTAGATAAGGATTAGAAAGGGAAAGTAGAGGGGCTGATAGGTGGCATAGTGGTTAAGAGCGTTGGATTCCCACATGGGCAACCGTGGTTCGAGTCCCTGACCTGGAGGCTTGCTTTCTCGCTTTCCCTTTCTCTCTCTCTCTGTCTCTCTCTGGTCAAAATTTAAAAATGATAATAGCAACAAATGGAATTAAATACATACATAGTTTTTTTTAAAAAAAGGGAAAGTAGAAGACATGATTGGGGCTGGGAGGTGAGCATATCCTACCTATTTGCTCAACTTCCTTTCCTCCTTTGGGAACCCTGTATCTACTACTCTATCCCAAAGAAGCATCAGTCCTGGTATTTTCATCACCATAACAATGTGAGTTTGTGACCCAGGCTGGCCAATCAGCATCCCAGCTTCTCAGACACAGTGATTGATTCAGTACATCCTTCGTGTGCAAGGAGTACTGCAGTTTTTGACTAGATGTTGGTGGTTATCTTAAATTCTGGGCAGAGCCTGTCATCAGAATGAAGTTAACCACCAGGAGAGGCAAGGATAATAAGTAAGAAAGTCTGGGCTCCATGACCTTGTTTGAATTCCTAGATCCTGCTGTGCCCAAAACTACATCTGCCTGGCCTGACTGCCCAACGTCATAAATCAGTAACTGTCTTGTGTGGTATAACTGGTTGGAATTTATCTTCTCTCATTTTCAAGGACGTATCCTGACTGACGTAGATTGGTAGTCATGGGCAAGAATCCTTTTTTTCTTTTACTTATTTAATTAGCGATGATGTAACATTGAATGGTTAAAACTGACCTTTCCTTACCCATACATATACACAAGGAGTAAGTTTTGGTGCAAGGACATCCTCCCCAGCCCTCATAAGAGGAATCATGCCAATTGCCCATGTGAACTTGTTTTTTTTAACAAACCTTTATGCATTTTAAAACAACAATCTGAAGTATTGTACAATGTGAAGCGCTGTCTCTAAGTCCAGTCGATGGTGGGACGGAAGAGGACGCACCCTCAGTGAGAGTCACACAATGGGTGGTAAGGTGTTCGTGTTCCTGGGGGAGGAGCTTTGGCTTTGCTGTCCCGTGGTGGCCGCAGACACCTCTGGTGCAGCAGCTGCCTCAGGCTTCCCAGGAGCTTCTAGGTGGGGCAGCTGGACGGCAGCCACGTGCTGGACAGAGCTCTGCGGATCGTCGGAATTTGGGACACGATCAGAGGCACCATCTTGCATCTTGTCTGCAGTGTCTTTAGTGAGCTCATCTGCTAAAGGAGACAGAAGGAAGGAGGAGCGAATGTTCACATGGGAACTACAGAATTGCTTATCAGGAATTCACTGTGGGCAAATTGCACTTGTAAAGATATTTAAAAACATAACAAAACAAAACAAACCAGCTTTTTTGTAAAGTACATGCTATGTGCCAAGCATTATTTTAAGCACATGGCATAATTCATTTGATCCTAAAGAATAAACATTACTCTCATTCTTGTAAACGGAGAGGCTGAGCTGCAGTGAGGGTAAGTGAACTGCCCCTCAGGGCCCACACCTGGTGGGGATTTAGTTCCAGGGACTCCAGTGAACCAGCGTATAATCACCAGGCTATACTGCATATGAAGTATCCCATAATGCTATGCTCTGCCATTGATAAGAATTCTAAAGGTAATTTATAGGGAATAAGGTCGAGAAAGAAAAGGGGAGAAAGAGAAAAATGGAAAATCCTAATGGTGAAGGGTAATGATAAGCCCAGCTAAAAACAAATTTCCTCACAGAGGAAACCTCCCCCTCCCCGAAATTGGAAACGACGTATCTAGCGATATCCCTGATTTCAAAGCATGCGTGCTTTGAAAAGCTATATTTTAGGCCATAAAGGCTTAAGACAAATAAGAAAATATATAAATGGAAGAACCTGCTAAAATAATATATGGATAATGGAAAAGAAAAGTAATATTTTAAACCAAAAGAAAAGAGAAAAGAAATGACAGACTAGAAGTCATGTCCCCAGGAGGATTAGTCAAGGAGTTCAGAGAAATAGACACGCAAGTCCTCCAGAAATGCCCGGCATCCTGGGTGATGGGAAGAGGACTGATTCTGAGCGGGGCTGTACCTTTTTTGCTTGCATGATGGTACCCTGAATACTTGTCCTTCCTTTTGTCAGAGGGGAAACAGAAACTGGTTTTCCTCAAAATCTGGGGTCTGGGCCGTGGTTTGAGGCTTCGTGGCTCATGAATCCAAGCATGCTTGAGGGCCTGGTCTGGGGTCATTCGAAGAGAAGGTTCCCATCTGTACCCCAACAAAGCCCAGTATGCATCAATGTTTTACTTCTCTTTAATATTAAAACATTTCTTAAAAATCCAATAAAGATATTTTTCATTTAAGCTCTATTATATCTCAAAGATATCATTTGGATAGTGATTATGACGTATCATTTAAAAGTACCTGAAAACAACTATTAGATATAATCTTTTTAGGAGATTAGTATAACAAACCAGAGAATATGTTAGAGTCCAAGTCTTTCAGAATTTTTAGAAATTTTCTTATAAGAAATACTATGAAAAGTCTTATCCAGCGGGATTTAGGGTTTGGTAAGTTAAGAAAAACAAACGGATGTTTTATTTTAATTTCCAGACAGAATTTGAGTCTCCAAATAGATCACAAAGAAAATTGTAGATTTTTTTGAATATTACGATGTACTGTGAGGGGATTTTGGATCTAATCCAGGGAAACTTCTATAGCAGTAACTGAACACATTGGCAGAACTCTCAACACGGAATCACCCTGCCTTTTTAAATCATTTCAGCGACAGAACAATAACTCATAAAACCATCTATTCCAATTCTGAAAAGCTCTGATTCCTTAAACCTTCTACATTTTTATTGAGTCCAAACTGGCTATCTTCCCAGTAACTTTTATCCACATCCTAAGTCTACTCATTAACATGACTCAGGATAAAATAATCCTTTTCTGTCACAGTTCTCCACCTGTCTAAAAACACTTATTTCCCTACTAACGACTGATCATATCATATAGTTCCCACCATTGGGCCACCTTCCAAGATGGGAAATGCCAGCTATTGTCTAACTGGGGTCTATGCTCGGAGACATTCTAGACTCAGCCAGGTGGTACACAGCCCAAGCTCTCAGTTCTTCGTCAAATGAGCGACTATTTAACTACACCTTTCTCCTCCTGAACTTCCAGAGTTGGACAGTAAAATCTAGGCACGAGGCTTTTCATTTACCCCTACTGAATCCGGCTCAAAACTTTTGGATCTCCTATTCCAAAGATTTGCTAACAGATAAGGTAACAGGCCCCATCAGCTCAACTGCCCCTTGTAAGCCGTGAACAATCAGTCCTTCGCAGTAACAAAGGAAATAATGTCCCCAACAGTTGGCATTGCTGGATAACTCCTCTCTGTCTCAGCAGTCAACTTCTGTCCCTACAGCCTGAGCAAGAAGCAGGGATGGTGTGGAGTGGAGATGGGTACAGAGTCTCTCTCTATTTCAGTTGCTCAGATGACTGCGTCACCAAGACAGTAATGCTTTCAGCAGTAGCAGACGTTTACCCTCGGAGCTAGCGCCTGAATTCCAGAGTGTACACTTTCCAGAAGAATGTTTTGCTAAAACTACCTCATCCTACTGGAGGAATGAGCGAAAGTAAAGATATGGTCCTCTATAAATACTAAACAACAATAGTACTGATAGATCTGGAAAGGACCTTAGGAATACCCCCATTTATTCTGTAGAAGGTAGAAAAGGAAACTAAGACCCAGAGAGAAATGATGACTTGTCAAATACCACACAGCTAATTTACTCGCTGCTCGGTGGAGATGGACTTGCAAAACCTCTTTAACAGCACTGAAATGGTAACAATAGCTAACATTTCCTAAACCCCTTTAACTTACTAGTAGGTCCTTTTTTATACTATGACTTGACTAAAGTATGGAACCTAATTACTTTTCACTCTTTTTTATTTTAAGGTTTTTTCTTGTTTGTTTTTGTTGTTGTTGTTGTTGTTTGTTTGTTTGTTTGTTTTATTTCATTTTTTTTGTTTGTTTGTTTGTTTGTTTTTGCCATAGGGGGCATTGCTAGCCAGAGAGTGAGAAATCACCTCCATGCCCCCAGGGAGTATGGCCACACCCCAATGCCTTCTCCATTCTCCTGGGATTTATGGGCACATACGCACATGTGCTTGGTATTGAGCCTTAAGCCACTGGATCCAGGACTTGAACCACAGTCAGCCATGTGAGGGTCCAGCGCCTTAACCATCACACTACCTGCTGGCCCTGGAAACCTAATTTCTAAGATTCAAAGTAGATTGTGAAAAAGTCAAACATAATATACAGCTCACCTGAGACCAGCAGTTAGCGTAATGGCTATGGTGCTAGACTCCCATGTAGTCGACCGCGGTTCGGGTCCCGGACCCGACGGCTTAAACTCTCGCCAGGCGCGTGTGCATGCATGCCCAAGATCCCAAGAGGAGAATGGAGGAGAAGGGATTGCGGCGTAGCCAACCCCCCTGGGAGGTGATTTCTCACTTTCTGTCTCTGTCTCTCTGTCTTTCTGGTGAGCGCACGTGCCCTATAGCAAAAACCCTCTCCAAAAAAAAAAAATATATATATATATACACAGCTCACCTTTCCCTCAATTCCTTAATACAAGATGATTTGTACATTAAATCCTGGAGGGCTGAAAAGAGGCCCTGAAACCAGATTATGCTGGTGTCTGAAAACAGTTACAAGAGGCACAAGAGAGAAGCTGGCTCATATCACAGGAGCTGAAGACCTTCAGGACTTGGCTGCAGCCTCACTGCCAGGACAAAGTACCACACTGCCTGATCCAAGGCAAGTCACTTAGTCTCTTCCAGCCTGTGTGTGTGTGTGTGTGTGTGTGTGTGTCTGCAAGTGGAGCAGATCACCTGGTCTGACATCACACAGCAGGGGGAGACAGTTGTCTGATGGGACAGTGGATACCAGAGCAATGTGTAGACTTTAACGCTCTACTATTAGTACGTATAATTGTCATTTTCCCAACTACCTCCCAGCCGTAGACCTTCACCAGCAAATGTGTGGAAGTACAGTATTTAAAAGGAAGCCAAGAGACCCCAGCAAACTCACACCAGACACCTTCTGAGAAAGTCCAGGAAGCTTGAGTCATAGGTTTTCAGCACCGTCGTGAGATCCTTGGAATCCGGGTATCTTTTTTTCCCCCTGTTGTTGGTTATATTTTTAGGAAAACCTTTGGAATCTTTAGAGATACAACATTCTGTATTTAGTTCCAGGTGTAAATATACATTGATCACATCATAGCTGTTCACCCAACCATCTGCTTCTGGGAGTGCCCTTAGCAACCCTTTTTTCTGTTTCATATGCTACCCTCATCCCAGTCACCCCCACATATGAAGACATACCCACAATGCAGTCAGTTTGAAATAACCACACGGAGATTACCCAATGAATACAATTAACTTTAAAAACAATTTTTTCGGGGACCAGCAGGTGGCGTGGTGGTGAAGGCGCTGGACACTCCCACATGGTCCACCAGGGTTCAAGTCCTGAATCTGGTGGCTTGCTTTCTCACTTCCTCTCTCTCTCTCTCACTCTCACCCTCTGTCTCTCTCTGATCAAACTAAAAAATAAATGAATGAATAAATAAAATAAATAATTATTTAAAAATTTTTTTTTCTACTATTCATTATGTTCTGGGCCTCTTTCTCACTACCTCCTCCCCAAATCAACCAAATAGTTTAAGTGGTTTAACATTACCAAGGTATAAAAGTAATGATGACAATAATAATAAAATAAATCTGAGTGACAAAAACATTCAGCTCTGAACAAAACAGAAATAACCCATTCTTGGATTATTTATACCTTTGCTTCTTCCCCACTAGCCCAATATAGTGAGAATCTGGGATATCTGTAAGGTATCACAAGAATGCCTTAGGAGAATGCTTTCAGAGCTCATTCACCATGCAAACAAATTAATCTCATCACGTCTATGGAGTTATGCAAAAATTTGGGCCATAATTGTAATGTTCAGACGTGGTTGGTGACTTAACCCAGCTTGGGCTGGCTGGCTTCAGCCATGTCCACTGATTAAGTAAACTCCTCACCAAACGTATGATTTGTCATCCTTGGAAGGAAGCCCTGCAGACAGCTCTGAAGGTTTCCCAAGGATGCTTTGTGCAATGATATGAAGCTGAGGACACTCATTTGTACATCCAGGTTCTGGTCAGAGAAGCCGACCACTTAGGCTCACACTTTGCGTGGGTAGCTACGCACATCCACAAAGAATTTACACATTAGAAAGAGTTCTCACCAACTCAGGAGAAAGTTCATGTAAGAAGCATTCCAGAAGGCACCTAAGAGCTGCTATTACTCTTGTAACCAATATAATCAGTAGGACCTCCAAAAGGACATCTGCTCTTTAATGACTTCCTGGAAGAGAGACTTCCACGAATGTGTGTGTGTGTGTGTGTACATACCTGAGTAGTATTTATATGGATGAAAATATGTTGGGCTGTTGTGTAAGCCCTGTGGACTCCCACAGGTCCCTATTTCCTTTTGGATTATGATGCCAGTGCTCCCCTTATCTTGTGTTACGTTTTTTATTCATGACCAAAGACTTGAGCTCATGCAATGATTAGTAACATAGCCCCCAAGATGATCATTGTGTAATTGTTTTTCTTATGCAAATTTTTCTCACCATTCCCCACCACCACCTTTCCCAATAACTCATCATTCTTTTCACCTACCCCCTGCTGCCTGGGGCACCTCAGTACCTCATACCCTTGAGGCAACATCATTTTGCTGCTAACTAGAGGTATTAACTAGGCGTGGCTGGGCGTGGAAGAGCTGATGGCAGCCCAAATCTGGGAAAGTCAAGAACTGAAGTAGACACCGTGTCTCTCAAACTCACTTTAAGAATCGCAAGGAGCGGTTGCTAAAAACATGAAGTCCTGGGTCCCACCTCAAACCTGCTATATCATAGATAAAGGAGGACCATGGGGAATTAGCATTTGTGTCAAGTGCCCAACTGATTCTTATAATCAAAGTTTTGAAGCCACTGAAAAGGATGCAACTTCCAGTGAAGTTCCTTCTTAGGGAGGAAGTAAAAGCATGTGGACGCTGCTAGTAATGGTGATCCTGCCCAGCCCCCTCTAGAGCCCAGGCTGATGGTGGAAATCAAGCACTCCATCAAGTGACATGCGTCTGTCTTGGTATCCTCCTACTAAGACGTCCTGCGTTCCCTTCCTTCCTGCACAGACTTAAATGTCATCTCATGAGCTCAGTATTACAGGCCTAAGGTGTGACTCATCCCACAATATCCTTGTCTAGGAAGATCCCACAGTTTCCACTTTTCTTCCCCCAAATCCTTCAAGATTCAAAAGACTGAATTCTACATGGTGGATGGGAAAAGCATATTTGGAGTCAAAGGACCCATTCTATTGCTCCATGTCTTCGTTATACGGGGAGTCAGCCCAGTGTGACTTAGCACACAAAGTGTAATTGAGTCAGCCAGATCCTCTACCTACCATCAGACTACTCTGGAGGAAAGGTTAGTAATGTGAACACCCTAACCAACCTTGCCCTGCTCAGCGGCAAAGTCTTCCAAGTTCTAGCCGTGATTACGAGCTAATGTTTAAAAGATTTCATCATTGGAATGCCTTGGGACCAGCTAATCAGTGGATGTCAGCCTGGGATCATGGGGTATCTCTGCTAACTAGACCTATAACCTTCAAGTTAGGAGTAAGGGGAGTCCAAAGAGTCCTGGGAGAGAACAGGGCTCATGGCTGCTGCTTTTAACCAAATAGTACTACAGTGGACATTTAACCGCCCACATGGCAAAACCAGTTCCTACTGGCCAGTATGACTGAAACCCTTTTGTCCTGGAGGATCGTCCCAAGAGGGTGTTTTTGACCCTCCCTATTGATGGGACAAGTTGTTCCGGGAAGTTGTGTGATCAGCCTGCCCATTCTGAGGCCACTATCAGTTGAAAATTATAGGAGACAGAGCTAAAAATGACTGTGGCTGCATAGCCAATGAGAGCCTGTAAGCTAACCTGGTCACCATGGGTGGTCACAAAGTGTTGTTCCAGAAGGCAGGGCACTCCTGTCTGTGGGGTCTCTTTTCCTTCATGTCTGGAGCCGCTCCACTCAGCTGACCTTCAGGTCACAATGGCTTTTTCTACCTGGGAATCCCTTTATTTTTTTGTGGCTTTTCAAAGGGATTTTAGGTCTGGGACTTACTTCCTTTTCTTCAGTGGGTAGAGCCCTGGAGGCCCTGCCTCAGTGGGTGCCTTGCCGATCTGTCTGCCCATCTTGTACAGCACACTCAGATAGGCAGCAAATCTTACCGTGCAGAGTGTGGGGACTGTGGTGAGAAGGGCAGTGTGGGTCTGTGGATGAGGCTTAATTCCAGCAGTCAGACAAAGGACCTGTCTTAAATGACAGGCCACAGCACAAAGGCAGCAACACGATTCTACCAGAAGTGCAACGAACCTGGGATTCTAAGGGTATTACGGATTAAGATCTTTTTTTTCAGGCAATAATAATGCTCCATCAAGGACGGAACATAACCATAGAACTTTCCACTACTCTTGAAAAGTAGCTTCTACTCTTTGCTGTCCCTACGCAGAGCAGAGTGGGAGAGGCCAAGCTGCTTGGGAAGTAGAGGCATCTTCCAGGAGAGGGCGTGGTTGTCATCTCCAGAGGGTTTCATATTTGCTGAGAGATCTTGTGAGCAGAAACCTGATCATTCTCCGGCACATTTTCACTGCTAAGACCATTCTCACCGTGCCTTTCCACTCCTACCTCCATCATTCTGTCTGGTACCACTTCCCACAATCTTTTCCATTTTCTGAAAGAAACTCCTAATTTAAAGCTTACCCTTTGGCATGGGGCTAGAGGGAAAACACTAAGTGAGGTTTAGGGTATGGGAAAGTATTTTCAGGACATAAGGACAAAGAAAGAGTTAGACCCAGGGACTTACCAAAGAACGTCTGTCTCCTAGAGGCCGTCTGAATGAAGCGGGTTGGTGGTAGGCCCAGCACCTTCAATAGGTACAAAGCGATTGGTTGACTATGTGTGGAGTCAGACTCAAAGGCTGCTAAAACTAGGTGGAACTTGGGCCAAACTTTACCTCCTACAGGTAAGGACCCAGGGATATTAAATGACAACACCAAGTCAGTGGCAAGGCAGGCCCAGAGACTGAATCTCTAACTCCTTCCTGATCCAGGATTGTTTCAGTGTCTTAAGACTCAACTGGCCATGTATTCTAGACAGGGCCCCCTATAGAGACAGGGCCACCCTTAACACCATCTAGCTTTCACTGTTAGCAAAGCAACTATGTATTCACTACCACCTCTGATTTTAGAAATGACATATTCCTGCACAGAGCTTGGAGAAAGAAGAAAAACAGGTGAAAGTCACCAGGTGGGTGTCAGACCACTGCAAGACAAATGCTTTCCTGAGAAGGAAAGTGCAGCGCCAACCTGCTCACTTTTCCTTGCTGCAACTAAGGGCACGCAGAGATAAACTGCAGGGGGTGCTCCTAGCACTGGGTCACTTATCCTTGCTGCCCGGTTTCCAGCATGATGTGTGCATGACCGGCCCTCTTGCTGCTCAGCCCCTCTGACGTCAAGAGCAGTAGGAAACTCAACCCATATGCCCTATGTTCCTTGCTATGGGCAGCAGGAGGGCCTCAGAATCACTTCATAGAATCCTTTATTACCGGGGACCAGCAGTTAGCGTAATGGCTATGTTGCTGGACTCCCATGTAGTCAACCATGGTTCGAGTCCCAGATCCGGTGGCTTAAACTCACACCAGGCACGTGTACGTGCATGCCCAAGATCCCAAAAAGAGAATGGAGGAGAAGGGATTGCGGCGTGGCCATCCCCCCTGGGGGGTGATTTCTCGCTTTCTGTCTGTCTCTCTCTGCCTTTCTGGTGAGCCCACGCACCCTGTAGAAAACCCCTCCAAAAACAAAACAAACAAACAAACAAAAACCAAAAATAAAGGAAAAAGAATCCTTTATTACCGAAGTGAGAGGCCATCTACTCTGACCCCCTCTCATCGTGCAGTTTAGAGTGGGAACTAGCTTCCCAAAAAGAGCTGGGGCCAGACCACAGATTAACTGACTCCTAGGACAGGGTTCCTTCCTCCATAGCTACCAATTACAGCTATTCTTACCTAAATTATTTTAATATTCTATTAGTTTCAATCAGGAAATGAAGTCATCTATTTATACTATCTAAATTATCCAGTTGAATTAAAAATTCTCAAGGTAATGTATCTCTCTACCCATGACTTTAAGACAATATAGAAAATAGAAATTTGGCATATATATGTATACACACACACAGATTAGATGAGATACATCAATAGTAGATCTTTGGGGGTCAGCAGGTAGCATGGTGGTTAAGGCACTGGACTCCCACATGACCAATTATGGTTCAAGTCCCAGACTTGGCAGCTTGAAATTTACGCTGGGCACATGTGCATGAATGCCCCAAATCCCAGGAGAATGGAAGAGAAGATTGTGTGTGGCTATCTCCCATGGTGGAGTGATTTCTCACTTTCTCTCTCACTGTCTCTGTTTCTCTCCGGCAAGCACACATACCCTATGTCAAAAGCTTAAAAAGATAGATCTTTGTTCAAAATTGAAATATGTTCATTGGAAAAATCTAAAATATGAAATTTCCAACTCTTTAGAAATATTTTCTCCTGTTTTATCTAATTGAGTTCTACAACAAGATGTCTTTGAGTGAAAGAAAAAATAGATACAATAAATGATTACATGATGAGTTTTCATAAAGGTTTTTAATTGGAAGATAACCTTCCCAGAAACTTAAGATCGCATATGACTAATGGCTGAACAATGCATATTTTTTATGTCAGATAATTTCCAGTTCTTTGTTTCTAACAACATTGTGGTCAGGTTGTCAGCTGATAGGTTAGTAAAAATAGTTTTTGATGACAGATCTCCATTTGATCCTTACATAGAACTCCAAAAGAGTCCAGAATTAGGTGATGTCACTAGGACAGGCTTCCAGGCTTACATCCACACGACCAACAAATTGGCGTGGCACTAATCTTAAGCCTGTTCATTCTAGCCAGAAGTAATATTCACCTATGAGGACAGAAATTACCCAGAAAAAAGAGAAAACACAGCTGTGTTCATTTTTCTAAGAGCTGTATGCCAGTAAAAGTTCACATTTAAAAAAAAAATGTGCTACAGAGTATGTGTGGTCATGAGAACGAGAGAGAGAGAGAGAAAGTATTCTCCTCTGCCCCCACAGGGGACAGCCACGCCACAATCCCTTCTCCTCTATTCTCATCTGGAGATTTTGAGCACACACACATGCACACACACACACACACACACACACACACACACACACAGCATGATTTTCAAACTGCTGGGTCCAGGCCTCAAACTGCACAGCTAGCCATGTGGGATCCAGCTACTTTAACTACCACATCACAGCTGACCCACCATTTCACATCTTATTCTTAATAATGATAGAATTTGTAACTGACTAGGAAAAAAATTTACACATAGAATTGTGCTAACAGAGAATCTTTTAAGTTATAATAATTGAAATGAAACCTCAAAATGTAAAACTATTAAACTAGAATAAAATTCTGTAGAAGTAGAATCGAAAAGAGTTCATTCAAAAGGAAAAAGAGCCAAGTAAAAGAAATGCACAACTGTGTAAAAACAACTTGTTCACGTATTTTTCAGATAGCTTTTGGCGGTGTCATGTCACTCTGGTTTTTTTTTTTTTTCTTTTGGCACATCTGAGAGACTTGTGTAAGAGTTTTATTGTAAAACATCACTACAATATGGTGGAAATGACATCCTTTGCAACTATTTAAATTTATGATAAAAACATCAGATGTCACCTCAGTAATGTACCACAGAATACATTTTTCTAAGAGCTGTATGCCAGTAAAAGTTCACATTTAAAAAAAAAATGTGCTACAGAGTATGTGTGGTCATGAGAAAGAGAGAGAGAGAGAGAAAGTATTCTCCTCTGCCCCCACAGGGGACAGCCACGCCACAATCCCTTCTCCTCTATTCTCATCTGGAGATTTTGAGCACACACACATGCACACACACACACACACACACACACACACACACACACAGCATGATTTTCAAACTGCTGGGTCCAGGCCTCAAACTGCACAGCTAGCCATGTGGGATCCAGCTACTTTAACTACCACATCACAGCTGACCCACCATTTCACATCTTATTCTTAATAATGATAGAATTTGTAACTGACTAGGAAAAAAATTTACACATAGAATTGTGCTAACAGAGAATCTTTTAAGTTATAATAATTGAAATGAAACCTCAAAATGTAAAACTATTAAACTAGAATAAAATTCTGTAGAAGTAGAATCGAAAAGAGTTCATTCAAAAGGAAAAAGAGCCAAGTAAAAGAAATGCACAACTGTGTAAAAACAACTTGTTCACGTATTTTTCAGATAGCTTTTGGGGGTGTCATGTCACTCTGGTTTTTTTTTTTTTTCTTTTGGCACATCTGAGAGACTTGTGTAAGAGTTTTATTGTAAAACATCACTACAATATGGTGGAAATGACATCCTTTGCAACTATTTAAATTTATGATAAAAACATCAGATGTCACCTCAGTAATGTACCACAGAATATATAATTTGAAAAAATACTTCTAGGGACCATCCACCTAAAAACAAAACAAAACAAAACAAAAACAAAAACAAAACAAGAAGAAAGTATGTAGGCCACTGCCCTGGAGGGATCTGATGTGACCCAGTGTTGGAGGGCTGCAGGTGTCCTGTGATCTCAGCTGGCAGTGGAAGAGACAGCCAGCCCTCCCCTACCTCCATGATGCAAGCCAGCTGCTCCACTTCATTCTCCCCGGGGAACAGGGGGTAGCCCGTGTACAGCTCCGCCATGATGCAGCCCAAGCTCCACATATCAATGGCCATGTTGTAGGGGTGGCCCAGAATCACCTCTGGGGATCGGTAGAAGCGGCTTTGGATGTAGGTGTACACTGTGGAAGCAGAGAGAGAAACCTCACATGGGAGAAACCGCTTCTCCAGAACACCTTTCACAGGGGGACTGATGTTTAGACTCCCTCCAACCTTCTTACCCTCGAGAGTACAACCAGGTAGCACTTAGGGGACACATTACATATCACTATCACCAAATCCTCACAGTAGCCCGATTATAGTCAAGGTGTTATTATCCCCATTTCATTGATAAAGAAGTCTGAAGTAGGCATTGTTCCAGGGAAGTAAATTTAATCCACTCAAATTTAAAAAAAATAAAGACTAATATAAAACTAACTTTCTAACCTCAAACGAATTCTAGGTAGATAACTCTCATGAGTGTTGTGATTTGGTAAGGGAGTAGGCATATCAAAATTTGAAAGGAAGCCCACAAAATGCATAATTTAAAGGTGTATATTCAGGCCCAGCAGGTGAAGTGGAGGCTAAGGCTATGGATCCCACATGGCTGGCTGTGTGGTTTTAGTCCAGGACCTGGCAGCTTGAAAATCACCCCCTCTGGGGAGGGGCAGGGCACAGGTAGTGGCATAGTGGTTAAGCTGCTGGACTCCCACATGGCCAACCAGATCTGGCACCTTGAAAATCATGTTGGGTATATCTGCATGCATTCTTAAAATCCCAGGAAGAGAATGGAGGAGAAGGGATTGTGGCATGGCCATTCCTCCTTGGGAGGGTGGGGGAGGATTTCTCACTTTGTTTCTCAATGTTTCTCACTGTCTCCTTCTGTCTCTCTCCAGCTAGTGCAGTCACCCTACAGCAAAAACCTAAAAAATAAAAAAGAAGAAAAAAAAAAGAAAGGAAGGAAGGAGGAAGGAAGGAAAGAAGGAAGGGAGGAAGGGAGGAAGAAAAACATGCTGGGTGCATGTGTGTGCATGCCTAAAACTCCAAGAAGAGAAAGGAAGAGAAGAGGTTACAATGCAGCCATCCCCCTGGGAGGTGATTTCTCACTTTCCCTCCCTCTCTCTCTCTCTCTCTCAATCTCTTAGCCTCTCTCCAGTGAGCTCACATGCCCTATAACAAAACTTAAAAAAAGTATAGTCAATTTAATATATGCATTTATTGTAAATATAATTTAAAGTATGAACACTTAATAAAATCTCTGCAAATGTGGGTGAATTGAAGGTAGCACTGAAGGAGCCTAGATTTTACAGATAAAGACATTGAAGTCAGAAAAACATGATATTTATGGTTATTTTTACATAACTGTTTTAGGTGGTTACCTGGATGGGGGGAGGGGCAGGGACTCTGTAATCACTTCTCTGTTGTTTAAATTGATAATGGTAAGTCTGTCATGATTCTGTGACTTAAAACAAAATAAAGATGCAATACAAATGGCTTTATAACCTGTCTACTTCCAAATGGATTTGAGGTACTTTGCAAAGTACAAGTACACAGAATATTTTAGATTCTGAATTTAATGAGCCTTACATCAGGCTTAACATATGCCGATCGCTATTTCAAGTGCTTTATATGAATGAACTCTCAGATTTTACAACAACCTATGGAGTGGTGCTATCAATATCTCCATTTTGCTGAGGAAACTCAGGCATTGAGAGGTTAAATACACTGTCAAGGTCACTCAGCTAGAAAGGGCAGCTGGGATTTAAAATCAGGTAGTCCAGTTCTAACATCCACACCTTATATTGCCTTATAGTAAAAATAAAGATAAAAGTCAGAAACTTACAGCAAAGGGTAAATAACTGTCAGAAACCAAGGATTAAATCATTACAAACTAATTCATACAGCCTGGTCACCAAGATAAATGGCAACTAATAGGTTACTCATTCTTCCAGGGCCTGAGAGAAGTAATCTTAGGGAAGTGTTATTTTCTAACTGGAATTCTTTACATTTACTTATTATTGTTATTATTTCATTAATTTTTAAAAAGAACTATTTTATTTATTTATTCTTATTTGTTTTTAATTTGCTATAGGGCAGAAAGAGGGAGACAGAGAGGGAGAGAGAGAGAGGGAAAATGAGAAAGCAAGCTGCCAGGTCTGGGACTCAAACCACAGTCTGCTGTTTGGGAGTCCAGTGCCTTAACCCATACCACCTGCTGGCCCCTTTTAGCTGAAATCCTTATAGGATCCATACAAATGTCCTCAAAAGTGGTTTTGCAGGATATTTGGGAACATCCATCTGGTCATCCTTTCTTCACCTCAGGAGACTTCCCCTGACACCCCTGTCACCACAAAGACTGCTCTGAGTCCCTCTTTTGTGAACCAGTGTATAAATCTAATCATTGTACTTGTTGTGTTATCTTTCCATCTCTCATGTTAGACCTTAAGCACCCTGAGGACAAGAAATGTTCATGTTTTGTTTCTAGTACCCGGGACAGTGACTGACTCACAGCATATACTCAACAGATGTTGTCAAATGGTACGTGTTGTTCCTCACATCAAACTAGATAGGAGCCAACATCAAGTTCAGTAAAGTTTATGCAAATGTACTCCAGGATTGCTTTCTGGGTTAAAGCTTGCAAAAAGTATAAAGCCCGTGAAATCTAGGGAAGTAAATATCAAAATTCAGAAGGGCTGTGTTGTCTACAGTGCAAACTCTGAGATACTCCCCAGAAAATTGAATCTGGTACGGCCTAGTGTAAAACCCTGGAAACTAATTTTTCGGAATCTTGAATAATTCTGATCACATCTAGTTGGTTTTGTGACCCAGTACTCTTGAAAAATTCCATATCTACAGAATATGAGCACATCAAAGGACTGTTAAGGAACTTGAATCTGATTTTTTTCATTTTATAGATGAGGAAACCTGGTCTTAGAAAAGCAAAGAACTTTTCCCAATGTAATGACTAAGCCCCGGCTGGAACCCAGTGACCTCCTGGGTGAAGGAATAGAAAGAGACTGGAACCTGCCTACCTTTCTGGTGATCATAACAGCTAGATCCAAAGTCAATAACTTTAACAGAGACTTGACCCTTTTGGTACAGCACTATATTTTCCTAGAGATAGAAAAGAAAAGGCATATGTAAAGTTGCAATAATGTTGCCCTACACTCTCTGCTTACCCAAATCCTTGCCATCCTCCAGGGCCCAGTTCAGATATGCCTCCAAGGGCCTCCTCCAGACCTGACCGTTCTCCCCATCTTCTGACTTCCCATTTGACTTGTGGTCCATACCTCTTAGCAGTGGCATTGCTGTGAAGTATTTCTTCTGCATATATTTTGTCTCTTTCCCCACACTGATTTGTTAACTCCTGAAGATTATGTGTTTATTTGTATCTTCCTTGGTACCTGGTTCTATGCCTTGCTTGCATAAAACCTTAGAAATGCCATTAAATTCTATTAAATGTCTCCATTGAAATACTACTATGACAGTAGAAGACTCCCCAAACAAACATACAAAGGCAATTGTTTTATTTGGGTTGGTCTTTCTTTTTTTTTTTTTTTTTTTGAGAGTTTTTCTTTTGCTATAGGGCATGTGAGCTCGCCAGACAGACAGAGACAGAGAGACAGAAAGCGAGAAATCACCCCCCAGGGGGGATTGGCCACGCTGCAATCCCTTCTCCTCCATTCTCCTCTTGGGATCTTGGGCACGCATACACACGTGCCCAGCATGAGTTTTAAGCCACTGGGTCCGGGACGTGAACCACGGTCGACTACGTGGGAGTCCAGCGACACAGCCATTACGCCAACTGCTGGTCCCATGGGTTGGTCTTTCTTATGCTAACCTTGGGGAAAACGTAAAGCTAGGCATTTCAGTAGTTATGGATAAAGAGGCAGAGCTTCTGGGCTCTTCTCTCATCATGAGCGTGTATGGGCTAAGGCTGGAAGAGTAAAATTCTAACCATGTGTTCAAGGACATCCATATCAGATGAGTGGATTATGTGATTGCTTACTCAGTACCCCAACACTGTAAATATGGCATAGCAGACCTGGTCTGAAGATGCTGGCACTACAAGCTAAGAGAGTACAAATTTAGTCCATAGTTTCTTTTCTAAAGAATATTGGTGTTAACAGAACAGAGCATGTGATCAGAAAAATCCCTAAAAGAGCAAGAATTTCTTGGGCGATTGGTGGTATGGTGATTAAAATACTGGATTCCACCTGGCAACTGTATGGTTCAAGTCCCAGACCCAGCAGCTTGAGAAACACACTGGGTGTGTGTGCATGGGTACCCAAAATCCCAAGAGGAGAAGGGATTGAAGCATGGTTACCCCCCTTGGTGGGAGTAAATTCTCACTTTTCCTCTCTCTGTCTTTGTCTCTGTTTCTCTCTCTCTCTCTTTCTCTCTTGAGCACATGTGCCCTATAGAAAATATTGGTTTAAAAAATAGGGTAGGAGGCCAGCAGGTTGTGTGGTGGTTAAGGCACTGACTCCTACATGGCCAACTGCAGCTCAAGTCCCAGATCTAGCAGCTTGAAAATCTCACCAGGCACATGTGCATGTGTGCCCAAAATCCCAGGAGGAGAATGGAAGAGAAGGAGTTGTGGCATGACCATCCTCCCTGGAGGATAGTTTCTCACTTTTTCTCTCACTGACTTTGTCTCTCTCCTCTCCAACAAGTGCACATACCCAATGGTAAAAACCTTTAAAAAAAAAAAAAAAGAGCAAGAATTTTTAGTATGTCTCTGGCTCAGTGGAAAGGTTCCTTAACTAGATGGGGCTGGCATTCCCATATTATTAGCACATAGCTCTATAGAGGGGGTGAATGGAATGGCAATTGTAAGTCACTTATATTATTAATCATAAGGTCCATGAGAATAACTCCATAATTCTTAAATCTGCACTGACAAAACACTCTCCTAGTTGTGGGTATACTACCCTACAGGGGCATATTTCAAGGGAACATGATCTATTTCTCAAGAAAATCTGTTACCTGATATTTTGGCTATCAAGTGTCTTGTGAATTTTCTTGGTGCGAGTCAGCTCCTAAGTCCAAAGACCATGAGTGATGTGACCCCTAGGAGCTGCAAAGCTGAGCACTAGGGACTTAGATGTGGAGAATGACTCATTGTACCATCATCCTTGTGAGGCTCTTTTGCTGGGCAGCCAGAGAACATGTCTATCTTCATAATCTTTGTCAAAACATCCCGAATTTACCCAATGCTTTACAGATAAAAAGGAAAAAGAATGGAACTACTTTTGGGTGGGAGAGAAGGAAGTACAGAAAAGTTAAGAGATATTTATATGTAAGGATCAGGTTGTTTTTAAAACCAGATCCTTAGTACTTGTTCCTAGCTACTTCTCTGTGTTATTTCCTCATATTTGCAATCTAACTAATTTAACAAGTATATACGTATTGCCTACCATGACTACTTTCAGATATCATGTTAGGTCCTGGGAATACAATGGTGAGAAGACATGGTGCCTAACCCTGGAAGAGCTTGCAGTCCAGAGGATATAGATAAAGAAATGATTCCGACACAAAGCACTCAGTGCAGTACCAGAGTTCAGTATAGCATACTAGCAAGATGTGCAGGAAGGTCACCTCTGTTTGGAGTAGAGAAAACTTTCTGGGGTTTACTGTATGCTAGGACCAACTCAAAGTTTATTGGACAAAGCAGGGATTTAGTGGAGTAGTCCACCTGCCTGTCTGGCACACATCTGCAGAGCATTCATTAGAAAACCCTAGGCTCCCAAGTAGAATGGCTAAGGGCTACAGGTGAATGTTGATTTTCTTATTGAAAAAGTATGGAGAGAAGCCCATCTGAGCAAACATGGTGATCTTTAAACACATACAAAATGTAGTTTTGTGAGCTGTCATTTGCATAGTGATGAAAGCAATTTGCACGTAAATATGCTAACTGCCTGAAAGTGAAGAGCAGTATCTGTTTAAAGGAAGTGACATGTGTGGCTAAATTAGCCCCATAAGATCAGACAAACTACATGGCGCCGGTTGTCTTCAATCTTTAGCCGATTAAAAACAAAAACAATTGGGTTCTCATTCCATTTCCTCTTCCCCCATTTTCTACCTGAGGCCAGTTCAGGGTCATGGTTATTTCCATCAGAGAAGTCGAACCCACCCAATCCTCACTTTTCTATACTTGTATGTCTTTGTGTGTTTATTTTTATGTTTATTTCTAGTACACAGACCCACCCCACTAGGAAAAAAAAAGTGTTCTGCTGAGTGAGTCACAGCAAGGAAGAGTAACTCAGACTCCCAGGACTTCTAACTGCACATCCTATGCTCAAGATACCACCCACCCACCCCTGGGCCTTCCAGAGTAAAGCTTTCTCACCTTCCAGTTCCTGTCTGCCTCAATGACACCACATTTGTCTCTGTTTTTCTAGTATTTGAGTATTTGAATTTTTGTCTTCGCTGCATCCCACTTGACTTACTTTTTTACCTATGACTGGGGGTGGGGGGTGGAGGGGTCTTGCCTTCTGCCCTGGATCTCTGGCAATGCTGGCTTCCCAAGGAATGGGATGGAGCAAACAGTTTCCAAGAGTTGGAACCTGCTTGTGGCAGGACAAAGGATGTACTTACAGGTTTGAGGTCACAGTGAATGATTTTCTCTACATAGAGCATTTGCAAGCACTTTAAAACAGAGAGTGTGAAGCGCCGAACTATCGACAGACTGAAGCCTTGAAAGCTATTATTCTTCATCAACTCATACAAGTTGATTCTGGTAAAAAGAGAGAAAATTATGCATGTGGATGTAAAAAAGAGAATTCCAAGTTTGAGCCTGTACTTCCATTCCACCCCAATCCCATTCTGCCTCATTTTCCTTTATAGTAGATAAGCCTTAGTCCAGGAGGCAGGGCTTTTCTGTCCTTTCAATTCATTTTGCCCACTGACTTGTGGTGAATGAGGATAAAGTCCAACCATTATACCTCTCAGATGTCCCTTCATTTCTTTTTTTAAGCTTATTTATTTATTGAAAGAGAGAGAGAGAGAGAAACCCTTAACAGGATCTTTCTATGCCTCTGTCTTCCCCTTAGTCATTCAGATTCATGGCCGTGCCCATGGGAATGCCTGGTGTGTTTAAGTTAATCCAGGATCTGAGCTCTGGGTCTGCCCATACAACTCAAATATCACACAGGGTGCTCTACTAACCCTGTCTTCCACTCACATTTCTTATATGGCAAGGCCCTTAACACATTGCTATGCGTATGGAGTAAGAGGCTGGACCAAACTTCTGAAATATTCATAGTTCTCAGGCCCTTGGGACCTAGGAAGTCCACTAGTCACTCAACCAAGCAGCAATACCTGGCAAGGAAGGGAGGAGGAAAATGAGCAAATGGGGGCCAAGGCAAAACAGAGGGTCCCTACCCCATCAGAGATAAGTGAGTGGCCAGCTGGTGGCATGGTGGTTGATGCAACTGGATCCTACATAGCTGACTGCGAAGTTCAAGGCCTAGGCCTGGTGTCCTAAAGCACACTGTGTACATCTATGTGCCCAAAGACCTGAGAGGAGAATGGAGGAGAGGGACTACGGTGTGGCTATAGCCCTGTGGGTGTGGTTTCTCACTTCCTCTCTCTCTCTCTCTCTCTCTGGCAAGCGCATGCACCATGTGGCAATATTTAAAGAAAAAGAAAAAAAAGAAAAAAAGAAAAAGCAATTGTGGCCACTTGGTCCCATCAAACTGTGCCTTTCCGGAATGAAGTCTCGCTTTTCCCAGACAATCCTAAATTCTCTAGAGTAGTGGAAGCCTGCAACAGTATATAAAAGGCTGTTGCATTAAATAGTTATCACTGACTTATAAATGCCAGAAACTTAGACAAAGCATGTTTAAATAAAAACCTTATTTGTAAGCTGCCAGTTTGTCACTTCTGTACAACTGTGAGATGAGAGGAGGGAAAGAGCACGACCCAGAAACAACCCGCATCAGCCTCTTGCTGCTTCCTCCTAACCTAGCATCTCGAAGATGTTCTAACTCTGGAAGCATTTAGGAACCCATTCACTCAGAGGGCCCAATGGAGATGAGACTTGGCTCTGGCCCCATCTTGAGTAGTGACCCTCGGAAGCTCCCCAGCCTCTCCGACCTTGCAGTCTCTCTCCACACGCTTGTCCCTTCTGAACTCTCAGAGCTGTTTTAAATATGATGAGTCTTCAAAAAGTTTATGGGAAATGCGTACTATGAAAAAACTGTGAAAGGATTTCGATAATTTTTTAAAACCAAAATAAACTCATACTTTAATTGTTTTCCCGCAAACTTTGGCATTCCCTTGTACAATGATCCTAGCTGTGTACAGTGACTAATAGCCAAGAAAGGCAGCCTGTGTTCTTTTCACTGCAGAGAAAAATCAACCTCTGCATGTTAGACAGAAGACCACGTCTGCAACCACTGGAGATGCTGAGGAAGGTATGAGCCTCCCTTAGACTCAGTTCTTGGTGGTTCCAAGAATTTCACCATCAGTGAGAATAGAGCTAGGAGCACCAAGCAACTAGCTCAGCAAATGCCTCTGGGAACTCAACTCTTCACTATTCTCCTTTGCCAAATGAATTCTGGGTTCAGAGTGCTATTTAAATGTCATCAGGTGGAGAGAGAGAAGGAGCAACAGAGAAGCAAAGGCCTTGGGCCTGAGCTGATCAGCAGCGACCCCTATCCACCTACAGAGGGGAAGGAGAGTCTGTTCCAGCCTTCAAGGACCACCACTCAGTTCTTGAAGTCCCAGAGATAGGAGGCAGAAGCTGCTGGCCTAGCTGTGCTGATGTCATTCTGCCCCTCACCCACCCAGGAGCAACAGGAAAGCAAAGGCTGCCAGGTCTGAGCTGATCAGCAGGAGCCCCCACCCAGCCTGCTGGGGGGAGGAGAGACTGTTTCAGACCACACACCATGCAACACGTAGTGTGCGAATTGGACTACTGCTTTTCATTCTACCTGTCCAGCTCGGCCTCTAGCCTCCCTGGGACCAGAGAGGTTTGGGTATAAGGAACCAAACACTTGAAGACAGTGAGGTCTTGAAGGAATTTTCTTTATACAACTTACAGCAGTAAAATGAGAGAAATTCCCCTCTGAAAACCTGAACTTAAAACTCCCACCCACAGTAGAGGAGGGAAACTGGCATAGGGCTAACTCATATACTCATATCATAGGGATGTGCATGAGCACACAGCTACAGAAACATACTCCAAAGAAGTAGGAAGAAGTGAATATATCACCAGATCGCTAAAACTCAAAGCAGGTTCCCAAGAGATAGGAGGAAACAGAAAATACCTCCCCCTCAGAGGAACATAATAACTTCTCACCAACCATGGATAAAACACAAGAAATCACAGAAATGTCAGGAAAATAATTCAGAATATTCATCATAATAAAACTCAATGAGATGCAAGAAAAAACAGACAACCAATTTCAGAAGATGAGAACATCCTTCCATGACTTGAAGGAAGAACTCCATAGATAGACATGCTAAAAATAATCAAACAGAAATTCTCGAGATAAAGAATGCAATGCAGGAAATCAAAGCCTTCCTCAAAATTATTAACAGCAGGTTAGACCACACAGAAAAAAAGAATCTCTGACCTTGAAAATAAAATCCCTGATTTAGTCCAAGCAACTGAAAAGAATGGAAGAATAAGCATTAAAAATCAGGACAAGCTGCAGGAAATCCTAAACAACATTAAACAGCTGAATATCTGCATAATAGGTATTCCAGAAGGGTAAGAGACAGGTAAAGATGTAGAAAATTTCTTTCACAATATATTAGCAGAAAACTTTCCAAATTTAGAGAGGCATGTGGACATACAAATCCAGGAGATTATTCAAAGGACATTAGATAGATTTAACATAAGAAGATCTTTTCAAAGACATATCATAGTGGGAACCAGCAGTTAGCGTAATGGCTATGTCGCTGGACTCCCACGTAGTCGACCACGGTTCACGTCCCGGACCCCGTGACTTAAAACTCATGCCGGGCGCATGTGCATGCGTGCCCAAGATCCCGAGAGGAGAATGGAAGAGAAGGGATTGCGGCGTGACCATCCCCTCTGGGGGGCGATTTCTCACTTTCTGTCTCTATGTCTCTCTCTGTCTGTCTGGCGAGCGCACGCGCCCTATAGCGAAAACCTCTCAAATAAATAAATGAATAAATAAGACATATCATAGCCAAATTAGGAAAAATCAAAGACAAAGACAAAATTCTAAAAATGGCAAGAAAGAGGGGCCCGCAGGTGGTGTGGTGGTTATGGCACTTGATGCCCACATGGTGACCGTGGTTTGAGTTCCAGATCCATCAGCTTGAAAATCAGGCTGGGTGCATGTGTGCTCCCAGAATCTTGAGAGAAGAATGCAGGAGAAAGGACTGTGGCATGGCCATCCCCCTAGGGATAATTTCTCACTTTCCCTCTCACTGTCTCTGGTGAGCACACAGAACCTATGGCAAAAACCTGAAGAAAAAAAAAAAAAGGCAAGAAGGAAGTGCCAAGTTACCTACACAGGTTACCCCACTAAATTAACATCTGACCTCTCAACCGAAACAATATAGGCAAGGAAAGAATGGGATGACATTTTCAAAAGTCTGAAAGAAAGACAATTTCAGTCAAAAGGTTGTTACCTCGCAAGATTGTCCTTCAAATGGGAAGGAGAAATAAAGTCATTCCCAGATAAACAAATGCTGAAAGAATCCTCCAAAACTAAGTCAGCTCTTTAGGAGATACTTAAAGGGATACTACAGCAGGAAAACTAGAGGGTGATAAATAGCACAAAACAATGAGAAAAAAAAAGAGTAACAAAATTACAGGAATAATTTCACACATATTGGTAACAACAGTGAATGCCAATGGATTAAATTCCCTAATTAAAAGGATAACAATTCAGATTCACAATTATCTGTATGGAAATTACATTTTTTTTCTGTACAGGACTGGACCTTGGTCTTACAAGAACTCACAGTAAGTTTTCTTTTTCTGTCTCTTCCTAATGCTCTATCATTACGTACAATTTTACCTCTCTCTAACTGGACTAATGATTGATACCACAGACCTTTTCAGATTATAAACTCTTATGTCCCACAATTATCTACATAGATATTACAAATTATTTCATTGGCTACATTAAAATTATCTTTGTTTGGACCAGCAAGTGGCATGGTTGTTAAGGTGCTGGACTCCCACATGACCGGCCACGGTTTGAGTCCCAGACCTGGCAGCTTGCTTTCTCACTTTGTCTCTCTCTCTGTCTCTCTCTGGTGAACATGTATGCCCTGTGGCAAATTTAAAAATAATAAAAACAAATAAATAAAATAAAATAATCTGATTTTAAATAGATTGTCTTTGTTTTCAAAAATCCGCCCTTATTAATTTATGAGACTCTTTGTTGTATAATCTTTAATCACTTTGTTTTCTTTAAACTGTACTTCACAGTAAAGATCACTGAGAATTCAATATATACTTTCAAAATAACCAGTAGAGCAAATCCTGAATGTTTACAACATAATGCAATGTTAAATGTTGAAGGTGGTGAATATATGTTTGATTTTGACCTTAAAGCTTTCTTTCTTTGACTTAAGCAGCTTTTCAACATACTTTACCCTTGAAAGATGTATTAATGTAATAATTATATGTAAATCATAAATTACAATACATTAATAAATATATATGTGTGTGTGTGTATATATGTATGTGTGTGTGTGTGTATATAGACACACACACACACATATATATGGCATCAGATGGTCTTCTCAGAGAGAAAAAATCCATCAAATTAGCATGTCTTTCCAATGAGATTGCCTTTTCTTTTTCTTTTTAAAAATATATATTTATTGGGAACCAGCAGTTAGCGTAATGGCTATGTCGCTGGACTCCCACGTAGTCGACCGCGGTTCGCGTTCCGGACCCAGTGGCTTAAAACTCACACTGGGCGCGTGTGTGTGCGTGCCCAAGATCCCAAGAGGAGAATGGAGGAGAAGGGATTGCGGCGTGACCATCCCCCATGGGGGGTGATTTCTCGCTTTCTGTCTCTATGTCTCTCTCTGTCTGTCTGGCGAGCACACACGCTCTATAGCGGAAAAAAAAAACTCTCAAAAAATATATATATATTTATTAATTATTATTATTCAATTTGACCAGAGAGAGAGAGAAAAAAGAAAGCCATTTGGTCCAGGACTCAAACCATGGTCAGCCATGTGAGATTCCAGTGCCCTAACCACCAATCCACCTGCTGGCCTTGAGCTTGCTTTTTCTTTTTCTTTCTTTCTTTCTTTTTTTTTGAGAGGTTTTTGCTATAGGGCACATGTGCTCACCAGAAAGACAGAGACAGAGAGATAGAGAGTGAAAAATCACTCCCCGGGGGAATGGTCACGCCGCAATCCCTTCTCCATTCTCCTCTCAGGATCTTGGACGTGCATGCACACGCGCCCAGCATGAGTTTAAGCCACCAGGTCCAGGACTCCAACCGTGGTCAACCACACATGGGAGTCCAGTGGCATAGTCATTACACCAACTGCCGGTTCCAACCTTGCCTTTTCAGGCTCAATATTCAGCCAGGTAACTGCATCCATTCTCCTGCTGCAGATATTTCCTTTTTTCCTTATTTACTCAGAATCGAAACCCACTTACCACCCTGAGAAGCCAGCTGCCTATTTCTTTGGCTTCCACCCTCTGCACTGTAGGTTGGGAAGCCAGCCAATGGGGAGCGTGGGAGCAAAGGAAAGTCCCTTTCAACACATTTCAGTTTGTCTCCTGAGGGCAGAGGTCTTGTTGTGTCCCCAGTTTGGTACTCAGTACAGGGAAGCACACACTGGGTATGCTGGCAGGTGACCGTATACTGACGGGTGGGGAAAAGAGGGGCCACTTTCAGTCCCAGCCTCCTTACTCCTGGGCCATCTAGACAACTGAGTGGCTATTGTACCCATTCCACTCATTAAATAGTCACAGCCAGAAAAATCTAGCGTTCCGACCTCAAAGCTTTCCTTCACTTGAGCAATTTTTCAAAAGAAAATGAAGTACAAAGAAAAAGCAGCTGACCCCAGGAGTTCAAAGGTGATACAGAGGTGATTGCGGAAGTAGAAAAAGTCCTTCATGTGCACCACGTTGTGGGTGTTGTCTTTGTCCTTCCTTCTGAGCGCTTCCAGGATCTTGAGCTCCACCAGGGCCTGATGGTGAAATCTGGGGTGGTTGGGAGAGGCAGGGAGGGTGGGGAATGGGGACAGATAACACTGGTTTTATCACACACTGTAGCAGAGGGCCCGTTTCCTCAGCCCTCCCCAACTGCACTGTCTAGGGGAGCAGCAAGCAAAAACACCATCCTCCTGCCTCTTATTTTCCTCTACATGGAACCAGACAGGTAGAGAGGAAGCTCAGAGGATGAGCTGAGGCAGGAAGGGTTGCCACTCCAATGGACCAGAGTCATGCAGTCCCTCACTATGGCCTATGTATCCAACAAGCCACACCTCTTCTTGTTCCTGATGATTTTCAGGGCCACCAATTCATTGTTTTTGTGATCCAAGCACTTGGCCACCTGTCCAAAAGACCCTTTTCCGATCATCTCCAGAACCTCGTAGCGGTAGGCAATGTGGTCATGCAGGACCTGCAGAAGCCAGGCCGGGGGTGAGGAGCAGAGCCACAGGCTCTGGGGCTTCCCCAATACTGGGCCCTAGATCCCCATCTCCAACTCAGGGGTCACTCCGGGGGGGGGGTTCTAAACTGTGCTGGGCATTTGTGCCGCCCCCACCGCACCTCACTGCTGCTGCAACGGTTCGGTTGTCGCCTGGACTCCAGAACACCCACGTGGTGCCAGGGGAAGCCCTACAGGCTTGATGCATGCCAACCCGTGCAAAGAACACTGAATAGTCTGTAGGAAACTTGAAGTCCCGGAGTTCAAATCCCATAATCTGCAAGTTTTAAGACTTGTAAAGTAAGAGTGTTAGGCCAGGCAGCCCTGTGGCTCCTTTCTGTTTGGACATGCTAAGATCCTTAAAGTTGAGCAGCAGCTCCCGCTTGGGGAAGTCTATTTTTGACCCCTGATGTGTCTCCACCAATAGGGGATTTATGTTTGTTCTGCATCTCCCTGACCAGTTCTCCCTAGGACTTATCTCGATTTAATCCTGTACTGCAATTAGCAGCATGGGACTTAAATGTCATGTCCCTAGGCTAAGAAGAGGAATACCTCCTAGAGCCAGAATCACCTATGTTTCTCCCGCTGCTAGAAACTAGGGAGAGGTGGTTCATCAAAATCAGGGGAAATGTTTGATTGAAAATTAGCTGGGTGGCCTCAGACAAGCCACGCACTCCTCTGAGAGACAGTGCCCTTGTCTTTAAAATGAAGATTCTGGGTATGATGAACTCAAAGGTCCTCAAGCTCTGTGAATCTGATTTCTATTTATGCTTCTAAGGTTGGGAGAGTGAAGAATAAGTGTCCGTGTACAAGTCCTTGGGCTGTGTTTGTGAGGCGTGGCGTCTGTTCATACAGGAGGGAATCAAGACCAGGAACACAAACATGTACCACTTCAAAGACACATGGAGATGTGTTAGTCTACATGTAAGTTCTGTCATGAGGATGTATGGAAAAGGACAGGGATGAGATAGACGTGCACACATGTCGGTGTAAAGGTTCATGAGTGTTTTCCTAGAATGTGAACATATATTCTACATACCACCAGTCTGATTGTGTCATAATTATTTGCTCACATGTCACCTTTAACATTGATTGTGGTTACTTAAGAGCAAGGGTGGTATTGTACTCATACTTTACAGCTCCTTTCTATTTTAGAGTCTAGCAGATGCCCAGGCTTAGGATAGGTGCTTATTAAGTAGTTAATTAACACTTCCTAAAAACAAACACTTGCTGACAGAATAACTATGAGAATGCAGCTATAAGTCTTGTTTGAAAATTTAGTTATGTGCATCATGTATTTGTGTGTACACTGAATGCAATAAGGATGGAGATTCCACGTTTATAGAGAGATACATTCTCCCTCTTTTCCCAGCAAAGCTCTCTAAGATGTAAGATGGAAGAACTGAGTTCTAGTGAATGAACTTAAAGGTAGTGCTGACATTTCTAGACATTTTCCCAGAGACGCTGGGCTCAGGCAGAAGGGAGGGAAGGAGCAGGGATGGAGGAATTAAAGATGTCTGGTTGAATTGGAGGTAAGGTTTATTTTGGGGATTATTAACCAAGGACCCATTAAGTCTCCGAAAGTTTGTGTATATGAGGGTTGTTTTTTCTAGGATGAGGACTCATAGCTTTTCTCAGACTCTCAAAGGGACCCTGGACCTAAAAATGTTGAAAACCAGGGCTCTAGATAAAGGCTAAGTGATTAAAACAAAATCCTTGCTTCTCAATGTATACCCCAAGGACTTGTAGCATTGACATTACCTGAAAGTTATTTAGAATAGCAAAATCTCAGGCTTCATTCCAGGCCTGCTGGGTAACAAGCTGCATTCTAACAAGATCTCCATGCTATTGGTATGTATGAGAAAGCTTGAGAAACATACCCCTAAAAGCTATTAAGAACATTGACCTCTTCTATGAAGCCATCAGAAACTCTTCTGGTCTCCTAGCACTAAGTTGTGATGAAATGTCCAGAAGAGGAAATTTCTGAGCGCCAACAGCCTAGTGGGCTAAGCATCCCATGTACAGTAGTGGGAGTTATTGCCCAGATTTCACCTTCAGGATGGGAAGAGGCACCATCCTGGGGAACTGCAGAAATACAAGGGAAAG